CCTCTGCCAGATGGACAACGTGCTGCTGAAGAGCGAGGTCTCCCAGCCGCGCGGCTACATCTCCAAGCTTGCGGACTTTGGCCTGGTCAAGGTGCTGGGCAGCGGCGACGCCGTGGTCAACGTGGCCTGCGCCGGCACCGTCACGCACCTCGCCCCCGAGCTGTTCGTCAAGGGCTCCCGCGTCACCACCGCCGTGGACGCGTACGCGTTTGGCATCCTGCTGTATGAGTTGTACATGGGCGGCGCGGGCGCGTACCCCGGCCTCAGCAAGGCCGAAATCATAGAGCGCGTCGGCCACGGCGGCATGCGGCCGCGCTTCCCCCCCAGCGCGCCGCGCGGCTACGTCCGCGTGGCGACCGCGTGCTGGGCGGACGACCCCGCCGCGCGCCCCGCGTTTGGGCGCATAATCAGCGAGCTCCAGGCGCTGCGCGACCTGGCGTGACCGGGCGTGGCCCTACCTAGCCGTAGCCCGGCCTCAGGGCTGCAGCCGGCGGAGTGTCGGCGTGAGTGCCACACTTTGCGACATTCGGATGGCTGGTGCGGCACCTCGTCCGCGTTGGATGTGCCGCAACGCACAATTCGGCGCCCTTTGATCAGCGCAAGCAGCGAGGCGTGCCCAGCCAAATTTTGACTTCGAGGCATCTTCGACCCCATCAAGCCACGGCGGTGCGCCAGCCACCTGCGGCGGCACGCGCGGCTCTCTCGCCGGCACGTCTGGCCAGAGGAGAAAACAGGCTTTCGGCCTTGCCGTGCACAGATCAGATTGAGTGCTGGTTCCCTCTGGCTTCCTGCATACAAAACTTGCGCGCATGCGCGCAGCTGTGCCACCTACGGCCCTGCGTCGCACAAAGCTTGCCTGCACGCACGCAGCTGCGCCACCTACGGCCCTGCGTCGTGCACTAGACGCCGCCACATAGAGCCGGTCTGGTCTGGCGAGCGGCCGCGAAAGCCTAATGACGGCCGTCGACGATCAGCCGGCAATCTTTCGCGTGTGTGGGCTCACTTCACCTGAACCCCTGGCATCAATGTGTCTTGAATACAAGTTTGACTTGCTGCAACCCCAATTCGCCTTTGCGCATGTCAGTTTTCGGCTGAACCATGCACATGAGCCGCGCCCACGGACCCGTGCCTGGAGGCGCCGGCAGCGGCCGCCGCCTGCCGCCCGTCCCTGACGGCGCATGCAGCGACGACTGACCGGCGTGTGCCTCGCTGTTTGAGCCCACAGCACCCGCCACACCCTCATCGGTCCAAGCCTGTTTGGGGGTGGCGGGGTGCGTCTCCGCGGCTTTCGCTGCTGCTCAGGCTCGCAGTTGTCGATCGTGGCACCCGACACCCAAGCGCACACCCTGGGTGCGGGGCCGCTCGCTCGGCATCAATGCTCAGATTGTTGGTTTTGCACAGCCGCAGCACTTTTGCACCATTGCATCTGCCATTCAGTTGCAACCGTGCCCATCTCCTGGCACACCCCGTCAAGGGCACACGTGCGCGAGTTGGGGCCCTCTTTGTGAAACCACCGGGGCTGTTTTCAGCGCCCCGCAGGGCCGTCATTCGTGCCCCATGCCTATAGACATGCACACACAACACCAACAACCGAGACTGCCACAGGCCCTGCCGCCCAGCACCACTGCAACCACGCGTGGCGCGGCGCGGCGCGAGGGGTTGCGGGCGCGAGCCGCCGCCGCCGCCGCCAGCGCGAACCCTCCCTGGGTCAAATCGGTGTCTTTGGGGCACTTTCTTAATGGGTGCCCCAGGGCCAAACCACCTTGTGATGACACTCCAATAAACACATTAGAAAGCGAGTTTTGATATGCGCCACAGCCCACGGTGGCCAAACCCTTGAGCGCCACCCGGGCGGGTCGCATTGCGACATGATGAGGGCCGCGCGAACAACCACGACCCCGCCACCGCGAACCGTGGGCCGCGCCCCAATCTTGGGGCCGCGCCGCTCTTCCCCGCCGCGCCCGCTGTGCGCAATCTGCCTTCTTTCTCTCTTCGTTGTCGACCCTGCTCATGGGTGCAGCAGAGCTGCCATGCCACGCCCAAACGCCAACACTGGCTGCAGACGTGTGCCGTGAAGCCTCTTGCGAGGCAAAGGATTTGTGGGCCGAGGAAGGGGGCGTGAGACCCAGGGCGGCTTGAAGCGAGAGTGCTGGGCCGACACAGGCTGCACTCGGGGTCAGGACAGGGCTATCTACGGCATGCGACACACACTTTCTTGGGTCTTTGTTGAACACCATACAACACCCCAAAAGCTGTCCGGGCATGTGCATGGCTGATGCTGCCTTCTGGCGACGGCTGGGCCGCGCGGCTCCCTTGCGGTGCCCACGGGCGCCCCTCAAACTCTTTCAAACACTACGTAAGAGCCGCCTGCCGTCCGCCGTCTGCCGGTCCCCTCAGGGCCATTGCGCCGACGCTTTCGTTCAAGGAAATCCAATTGTGATAGGCTGGCGTCTTGCACCAGATCTCTGTGGCCTCTTGCGGATGAGCCCTTGGCATTCGCCGCAGGGACCGAGTCACGGCTCGGCCGCACACGCGGCTCACCACGCACTGATTGTAGCCTCGATCTTTGCTCCCCTCGCTGCCCTTTCCAGCACTGATGCGTGACCCTCCAATTGTAACTGTGACTTGCTGAAGCGCGAATATTGTCCATTGACAGTCATATGCCATCGCGCCTGCTCCTGAAAGCAGCTGAGGCACCTGCCATGAGTGAATGGTCGCCCTTGTGTGGTGGTGGCATCACTCCCGGGAACACAGGCCACCCAGCCACCAGAGAAAAGCGGTGCTGCACACATCCTGCTCCTCAGGTACAGTAATAGTCGAGGCCGCGGCACCTACCACCGTCCGCGGCACTGCGTATGGGCAAGGCTGTCAGCAGACCCCCGGAGGAAGAGGCCCGCCAGGTTGGGGGGCACCTGATGCGGGTCAAGCCACTGCCCGCCGAATGTTGAGGTACACTCGCGCAGGCCACACCCTCAGGGAATGGTCTTGTCGGTTACACAGCATGACTACACCAGGGCCCTCAAAACGAATTTGTGTGGTTGATATGGATACAAGAAGGTCGAATGGGAATCAAAAAAACTGATCAACAAAAAGGTGCGTAATTCAAGCAAGCGCCCCGATTACAGCCCGTTTCACAGGGCTGGGAGTTGATGCGTGCCCGGCGGCAGCCCCGCCACCGACAGCGGAAAATCGTTTGAAAAACAGCACCAGCGGGCCCCCTCTTCACGGGCCGCGCCGCGGCGACCGCGCGACGGAGACGCGCCGCGGACGCTCCTTGGCCCCTGGCCCCTCCCCCCGCCC